ACGCGATCGCTCATTATAGCGCGATTCTCATCTTTGACCAAAGAGACCAAAAACCATCACGCATGGGGGAAAAGAATCTCTCTCAATAAATGGCTTGCTGACAAACTGGAGCAATAGACTTAGAAAGCCGTAAAACAGACGCCCCACCCTTTCACCTGCTCCGAAAGCAAGAAACGCAACTCATCCGCTGGATTAATTGTTTTCTTCCAAACGCTAAGATATGAAGACCGTACTTAGTGGACGTCTAGAGGAGAGAAAACAGTTGGAAACACTCTCCGTAAGACATCAGGCCTGCGGCAAGAGTTTATGAAGAAGTCCCCAAGGCAATCACAGCAGGCAAGCAAAAATAAATTAAATGGGGACATGATCAAACTACAAAGCTTCTGCACAGCCCAAAGGACGAATAGTCATGAAAGTAAACAGGACAACTACAGAATGGGAGAAATTTTGCTACTATGCATGCGTAAGGGACTGAGTAACTAGTCAAGGTATACTTAGACATCCGAAATTAGGGACAGAAAAAAATCACAAAACCCCCATTAAAAAAGTGGGCAAAGGGACTTGAACAGAAATTTTTCTAAAGAAGACAGAAGCAATGGCCCAAGCAGAACATAATGGAAGACAATGCCGTCAGACACTGCTCTAATTCATCAGGGAAAATGGCCAAATCGAAACACCACACAAAAAAAAAAAGTGTGGAAGCTGTTTCATATCCTAAATGTATTTTGTTTTAACATTTCAATTAAATTACAATTATTTTTTTTATTCATTTGCTCACACTCAAAAATTAAGAATCCAGATATATACCTTCAAAAATAAATCCAATTAGATAACCCTGATTTTTTAATAATGAAAATGAAACTATTCCTTTATATCTACTATATGTCAAACTTTTCTTTATATATCCAGAAATTTAATTTCCTTTTAAAAACATCAGGAAAAAAATTGCTTTGTAATGCTTACAACTAAATTATTAAAATACTACCTATTATATCAAAAATTGTAGTGTGCAGCAAAATCATCACTTTAAGGGAAAATTATAGCTTAAAATGTCAATTATA